TAGTAAGCTGAAGTGGCAATGGACCGGCCATATAGCTCAAAGAACCGATAACCGATGGGGAAGAAAGGTTCTCGAGTGGCAGCCTCGTACCGGTAGGCGTAGTGTAGGGCGACCCCCCCACTAGATGGAGTGACGACCTGTGAGACATGCAGGAAGTCGATGGATGCTGGTGGCTCAGGACTGTGCTTTGTGGCATTACTTGGGGGAGGCCTATGTTCAGCAGTGGACTTGTGAAGGGCTGTATTGATGATGATGAAATGATTACCTAATATTTGCACTAAAATCATTACAACTCAAGATCAATGTCATTTTAGTTTTTATACTGTTAAACTGTTATTTTTGTCGTTTCATATAAGAAACAATTCTTTCTCCCTACGAAAGCATTGTTCTGAAGCGTTTAAAAAACTTAATGTAACCGAAGTCACTCCACAATTTGATCTTAAGGTATGTTTCTGAAAGCATTAAACTGAGGTGAGGAACGCCAGAAGGCCGTTAAAACTTTTTGAACATGAAGTTTGAGTAAAAATCATTGTGCAATAGTTTAACCAAAAGATTTTAAACTCCCTTGTCTTAAAATGTTAAGTATAAAATGTTTTAAGGCTTCTATTTCACTCCATTCTCTTGCAATATGTAGTCTTATTCCCTAACTTCCCACGTTAATGTTTTGTTGTGATATTAGTACTATTTGCCTACTTGACTTATACAGTCTCGTCTCATACAAGATTTGCGGTCTGAAAGACAATTTTTTTTTAATTTTCTAAGCCAGTACTTAGCTACAATCAAACTTGAATGTATGAAACAGGTAATGTAGCTTATTGTAGCTTAAGATGGTAAAGCGCACCTGACTTAACAAAAACCTATTCACTCTTGCCTTGAAGATACCCACATTGTAATCGGATGGAAAGACAGATGCTGGCAACTTATTCCACTCCTTTGATGTATGCATGATGAACGACGTAGCAAACCGTTTGTTTCGAATGTGTGGTAAGTCAACAACGTAAGTGTGGAGACTGGCCGAACGTCTGGTTGTCCGATAGTGAAAGGGAGAGGGAGGAATTAAATTATACAATTCCTGCGCACATTCTCCGAAATGCTTCTTGTAGAAGACCGAAAGGCTGGCTACTTAGCGCTGGTGTTCAAGGCTGGTAAGATTAGTTTCAACCAAATTCGGGTCAAAAAAAAGCCTCTTAGCACGCCTTTTCATTGAATACAAGGTCGCTAAGTGGCATTTTGCAGCACCAGCCCATATATAGCAGAAATACTCCATGCACGACCGGACTTGCACTTTAAATAAAGTGAGCTAACCTGTCACGGCGTGAAGTATCGCCGCACCTTTGCAAGAACTCCTAGCCTCCTTGCAGCCGCGCTGGCCTTAGACTCAATGAACTATCCAAAGTTCAGATTTGAGGATATCTCACACCCAGCAACTGGAGGCGGTCGGTGTAAACTATTTAAAGAAAGGAAAAGGCGGTGATAATAATGATGATGGTCTATGATTTGTTACCAATAATCATGTTTTTAAGCTCTTTAACCGCTGTCCTAGTGGGGGAATGGGGACCCTCACTTATGACTGCGATTCGATTCGATTTCAGTCAACTTTCGCAATTCGCGAGGTTTCAGGTTCGCAGGTGTACGATGTGTACGCTACGGTTGTGACGCGTTCCGTTATCCTAATGGTGTTTGTTGTAATAGATGTGGGTGTAGTGTCATTGTTTGATGTGTTTGCGACGTTAGGTCGACGGAATAGAGCGGACTCCCATGACTATTGCATATTGAGTGATATTTATACCGTCGACTATTTGATAGGTAGTGAGAATTAGTTTTATGATATATTAACTGAATGAATTTTTTGTGATTTCAACTGTTCCGTTATCAATAATCTGTAGAGTGTATATCAATCAAATGAGCGTTTATTTTGTATTTTGTTTATAAGTATTTTGCATGATACACAGCATGTAGCCGTGGAAAGAAAGCAGGGGAGATCTCCCGCCAGGCAAGGTGTTCTGCCCGGGGAGCGGCCGACACTCCGAGTGATAGTCGGAGAAGTTCTATATATACTGTCTATGATTCGGAATGTTGATAGCGTGATTTAAGCTTCGGTGTATGTCGCTTGTGGCGCGACGACAGCGCCGCTACATCACCCCCTGCTCAGACCGGAGGTCGATAGTGCAGTCGAGTTGTCGACGAATGTGCAAGTGCCAGGAGATTGCCTTGTAGTCTGCGGTGAATCGAGAAGAAGGCAAGTAATCTGCGAGAGTGCCGTGAAGCAGAGGCGAGCATTAAGGCTCAGAGCCGTGCCGAACACTGTATGGCGCAGAGAGTAGCTTGAAGGAACAGGAAGCATTATTATTCCAGTGCTGCAATGAACCTTGTGAAGCTAGATGGCTTGCAGGATATGAAGACTGCAGACGATATCTGCTCGGGAGCGAATGGGTGGGGTATTCTATGACAATGATGAAGCTTGAAGTTTCCGAAGGTAGTTGGTTGCGTGTTCAGATCACGTCGGGGTCACCACTGTAGCCGTGGAAAGAAAAGGGGAGATCTCCCGCCAGGCAAGGTGTTCTGCCCGGGGAGCGGCCGACACTCCGAGTGATAGTCGGAGAAGTTCTATATATACTGTCTATGATTCGGAATGTTGATAGCGTGATTTAAGCTTCGGTGTATGTCGCTTGTGGCGCGACGACAGCGCCGCTACACACATATGCATTTGAAAGAGAAATATAGCTTGTTTCATATTGAAACTTAAATTTTAAGGAATTACTGGTTATAATAAATTTTTAAAATAAATAACTGCTTCAAAAAAAGTTAATCGTCATGTGACGACCGGAATATGTGAAACGTCATGGTTGATGGTGGAATTTGTAATTATTGAAAGCCAATAAATAAATATGAAGAAAAAATAATAAAACCATAGGTAGGAAAGGAAATAAAACAAACGCATAATATAAATGAGAATTGCCGTCACAGTATACGAGATGGTTTTACCGTCAAGGCACGCCAATAGGTGTTTCACAACCAAAGCGAAAATTATCATCAAAACCTCTTGCGCGCTAAAGAATTATTTACATCCATATATAAATTGAAGAATTTGATTATTTTCTCGTACACCCCATTAATCTATCATTATTCTAACAAGAAAACATTATCATTGAATCAGACAACATGGTAAAGAATGATCGCTGAACTATGAAATTGAGAATCTTCCTTTTATTGAAGTCATTTAAAAGAAAATATTGCAAACCTTTCAAAAATAACTGATATGATGAAATATATGATATAATAGTGAAAGAAGCCTTAATCTGTAACATAATATATATCCTACGTTTGAAATTAAAGGATAGACACTTTAAATTTTAACTAACATTTAACAAAAATTATTTCCTCCAGACGAAATTTCAGACACGGTGGCCAGTCTCAACGGTAGCTAGCTATCTGCGCTGGATACGATGTTAATACCCGAGTGTAAGACGCAACCACATGTGCACTCTCTATTCCTTCACTTTTATATGCATTCTCAATTCCTCCACTGTCATAGACACCAGATCTAACCTCGCCCATGATATGGAAAATTTACCAACCATTCCGCATTTCCGATGCTGCTTCCAGTCACCGGTCTGATTATTTTGTATTATTGTAAACAAAACATTTATACCACTATTTATCAGAAGCCATATCTTATTGCCATATCCCTTATTAAATTTTTACGACGTCCAGAGGATGAAAAGAATATACTCTTACGCTGCAAGTACACGGCGTATAAACAACGACAACAGTAATATATGACAAACAAAACTTATTTTAAGGAACATATAGCTGGCAATTAACACCAACGCTCATGGAAGTTTGCAGTATGTTAAACAGATCAGGCTTCCCGAAACGATTATATTAACCCATTACTTCCCAAGCTTCGAAAACATTGGAATTTTTTGATCAATTCTTTAAATTAAGTTCATAATACATTAAGAAAAAAGAATATGACAAAAAATATAGCTTCATCCCTGTTTCAACCTGTCTTATAAATATGACAATGGGGACATGTGATCAGAAATAATACAAGTTAACAATTATAAGAAAATCTGCTTTATTTGAAAGTTATGTCAACAAACAGTCTTAAAAATAAAGTATTATGAGCTTATTTTGTATTATAAGGTATTAAACAATCACTGCAAAGCGTTTTTTTCACATTTAGCACAAAAGGTTAGAGATTTTTTCTTACAACCTTGTCCTTGAAAACGCCACTGTTTGTCCATCTTTGTCATATAGTGACCAACATTATCAAACCTGACAGATTGTAAAAGAACTTCTGAAGAACCGGGTGTCGGTTTACTTGCCTTGCCTTTCGATATTTTCATTCAAGCAAAACAAACCATCCGTCTGAGGGATGGTCTCATCTTTATTTATCTGGTTGTAGATAATCCATGCATTCACAAGGGACATGTCAAAAACACGGATGACTAAAGGCCAATACCATTTTTTACCTCTAAAGCATATTGGATATTTACAAATCAGCCAATTAAGTTTATCCACTCCTCCCATATTTTTATTTTAATTATGAATAAGCATTGGCTGATTCACGGCTACTTTGGCCTTTTCTTTCTTTGAGTACCTATTCGTTCTTACTAATGGTTCAACAGAATCAGAATTAGTCAAAAGACAAACAACATTGTTGTCATGCCATTTCACGCACAAAATTTCATTATTTTTATCAAAACGATAATCGGAAAAACCTCGGTCTTTCTTTTTCATCTCCTGTTTGTCATGATAGGACATTTTTAGTCCTATTTTCTCTGACTGTCCCTGTAGTTCTGAACCCTTCAAATTTTTCAAAATTTCAAATCAATCAACAATTGCATGTTGCTGAAAAAGTTATCGAAGTAGACTACATGTGCTCTGGGATCTGTACAAACTACAAGCAACTTCTTTACCACTGCTGCACCCAAGCCATCGTTACTACTAGCAGAGGTTTGAGCATCCTTGCCCGTGTATAGCGAAAAGTTGTATCAATATCCGCTGACTCCACACAGTGCCCAAAGCTTATATCCGAACCTTACTGGTTTACCTTTTATAAAATGTTTGATTCCATGGTGACCGAAGTATTTGACGATCATTTCATCAATAGCTAAATTGGATTCAAATATACCAAACTTTCGGAATGATTCATTAGCTTTTTCAATAAGTGGGCAAATTTTGAAAGCTTTGTCGGTATTATCAATCTGTGAGTTGTCAATGAAATGTAAATAGGATTTAATTTTATCAAAACGATTACGGAACATTAATTGCCTGTTCAAAAAATGGAATATGTACATCCTCATCTCTACACCAATAAAGTTTACTTTGCAGCAAGTGGTGATACGAAGAGAAAAACAAAATTCCTATAAAGACTTTTAACTTATTTATAGTTAGATTGAAGTTCAAATCATTTTTATAATGTTTGGCGTAGGTTACAGTTTCGTGCACAATATATTCTAGAATCTCGTCATACAACAAGTTTTCGAATATTTCTACCGCTGATTTTCCTTCCAACTCCGTAATCATATTTTCCAAACATTGTTTAGCAGTATTAGATTCCGGCTGTATTTCAGAAAATACTGGTTCACACTTACGCCAAGTCACTATCTTGCTTGTCCGAGATGTGGTTTGAGTAGGATGATTTTCGGTGACGTTATCGATCATGCACGAAAATTCCACTTGACCAGCTACATCAGACACTGGCAAAACTCCCATATCGTAGTCATGACCTTCTTCTATGTCAGTCATTTCATCTTACCTCATCCGGCAATATGGCAATTTCAATGTCATTCAACTCCTCATCAATAGAATCTTCAATATCTTGAAGATAGTCTACGATTTCGGACACCTTCAAAGCTTTTTTATACTTTTTTTGCACTGGATCCATGATTTATAAATAATAAAAAATAGAAAATATAAATATGTAGCCACACGAATACTTATAATCATACAGACAGGTATATTGTTTACAATTAGATAAAGAACAAAAATAAAATATTTTTACTTACCTATAATTTCTCAACCTTGTAAATAATTCACTTTTTTTACTCTAGGTCGATAAATAATCACAATCTTTTCGTGGGACTAGATTTAATGTGTTCGGCGTAGACTAATCGACTAATGTAAATACAAGCAAGACCCGCAAAAAACAAACAATTGACCAGTTTGAACCTGTAATCTGCGTGACAGGATCGAACACGCTTTCGCGGCAAATTGTACAGATAGGTTCCTAGGGATCATATTTATAGGACGGCTTATTTTGAATGTATATAACAAGTTCACAAATTGTTTTTTGTTTTTGTTTTTATTTGTTTTATATTTGGTAGAGATCTAAGAATAAGTCTTCTGTACTTTGAAGTAGGTAACGTTATTATTTTACGGTATATACAATCGGAACTCAATGCTCACCTTCAGTCAACAAAAATAATCAATTTAAAAAAAAATTATTAAAATTACGTAAACATTTTATTAGATAAATTGTGTAAAAATATGAATTTCATCAGAAATAATAAAAATAAAAGTCCTAATACGTAAAAAGAAATTTTGTTAATAGTGTTCTAAAAATATGACAGTAGGGAGGAATGAGTTAAGTATGATAGATTAATTCAAGAAATAAATAAAAAACGCCTTTTATTTCAGTGTAAGCATACAGCACGAAATATAGAAGGCAATAAGATAAACAAAGTGATTTATTTACCAACATTATAAATGAGATGGTCAAAATGTGCCCCAAGCTGTACAAAAATAAGACTATTGCTATTAATTTAAACAAAATAAAAAAGAATTTTGTATAACTATTAACATTTCATAGCTGTTCCAATCTGAAGGGAATAGAGAGCCAGTACAACTACATGCTATGAGGCATTCATGTAGGTATAAGTTATTAGGTTGTCTGGAAGAAATTTCTGCATAGCAATAAGACCGCCTTTTGTTTTTCTCTTTGTTTGTTTCGTGTTGTTTGTTTGTTTCTGCTAGGCTCTTTTTTTGCATCCAACTCGACTCTCAATGACAGGGGGAGTACGCCGCCGATTATACCGCGGTGTGAGTGCTCCATGCCGGAAGTGCAATTCACACAGCGCTCGGTTCGCAAAGCACTTCTCTCCCTGGAATTCCACAAGTCGAGTGGGCCTGACGAAATTGCCTCAATTGTGCTGAGGACGTGTGCTCCCGAGTTTACACCGGTTTTAACGCGTCGTTTCCGGTACTCCTACTCCCTAGGCGCAGTCCCAAAATCATGGAAGACGGCTTCCGTCCACCCGATCCCTGAAAAAGGCGACCGCTCAGACCCGTCCAACTACCGGCCCATCGCCATCACCACCTTGTTCTCCAAAAAAATGGAGTCCTTGAGGATCACCAGCTGATTAGTAATCGCCAATACGGTTTTCGCCGTGGTCGATAAGCTGGTGATCTTCTGGTCTACCTAACTCAAACCACTCTTAACACAAGCAATATAAGCTTACCAGCCTTAGAGTGGTTAAGGGGAATATTAGTAATGTTTATAGCATTGTTAATATTCTTTTTTTTTTAAACTCATAGATGGGTGGAGGCAGTAGAGTCCAAGGGGGAGGCATTGGCCGTTAGTTTGGATATTGCGTAGTAATTCGATCGGGTTTACCACAAAGCGCTTCTTTCGAAACTCCCTTCCTATGGGCTTCCCGAGAAATTGTGCAATTGAATCACCAGTTTCCTTGCAGATCGGAGCATCAAGGTCTTTGTAGACGGTGCACGCTCCGATTACATGCCTATTAATGCTGGTGTTCCACAAGGCTGCGTGCTATCGCCAACGCTTTTCTTCTTCACATCAATGATATTGTGACGGCCCAATATTATTATTAATAATTAAATTCAATATAAAGGGGCGTCAAAAATAGTCTTAAAAGATATATATTAAGCAATTAAGTTAAATTAATAAACATAAAGTTAATATATTTCAGACATTATCCCAATAACATAATAAATTAAAGGCAAAATTATTGTTTTTCGTAATAAATAAATTTATTTAAAAACTTGAAAAAATATTTAAAATAAGATAAATAATAGAAATACAAGTCAAAAAATATTATAAAATTAAGATAAACAACATTTATAAGATAATTAGAAAATTTGTTAAAAATTGTTTTAAGTCATGGGAGGTGTTCGTGTATAAAAGAAAATTTTTCTAAGTTGTGGAAGTAGTTCACGTATAGATGAAATTTCTTAAGCTGTTGAAGGAGTTCATGTATTAAAGAAAATTTTCCTAAGTTATGGAAGGTGTTCACTTATAGACGTCTTGTATAGAGGAAGCTGCCGGAGGTACATACATGCAGTTGTACATATATATGGGGTGGTCGGGAGGCCGACTGCCTGAAGTACTGTAGCACAATGACTAGTCATATATTAGGGACTTATGATATTAAACTTAATGATACAAAAGTAATACTAAAGAAGGTCTCCATGATGAATTTGCATTACAATAGTAGGGTCGTGGGTTCGAACCCTATATATTAATGACTTATGAAAGTAAGGTCTATGATCCAAAAGCAATACTACAGAAGGTCTCTATGATTAATATGAATTACAATAGTAGGGTCGTGGGTTCGAACCCTATATATTAATGACTTATGAAAGTAAGGTCTATGATACAAAAGTAATACTATAGAAGGTCTCTACGATGCATAAGCATTGTATGGAGTGGTCGGGTGACCGACTGCTACTAGTACTGTAGCAAAATGACTAGTCCTTATTAGGAACTTGAAAAGGAATATTATGGTGGCGTGTGTGCTGCTTCACGAGCAATTGGTCCGAGGTAAACTTAGACTCGCTAACCGATGTGTCCTAGACATATCATCTTAGTGCTGGTGGTAAGCGGGTTTGTTGTAGCAATACGGCTTTCCCGTGGACATCGCACACCCATACCGTTTGTGGGCGGCGTAGTAGCGCATAGCGATGCGTCGTCTATATTTCGGATTGGGATGATGAGTGTGTTTGGTAGCACTTTTAAGTGTAACAGGCATACTCAACTTCATGTCATTAGTGCATTAGCGCTATGATACGTGGAGTTTTGTTCATTGGCGTCTTAGTAGCGTGCTACTATGATACGTTGGTGATATTTTTTATATAACAACAATAAAAATTTTGTTATATAACAAAAAAAATTTAACAGTGGTAGAGCTACGCGGCAGCTTTGCTGTCGCACGTATGGGCCGGCTCAAACCGGGGTGGTACCACGACCTCACAGAATACCGGCCTGAAGTGGAAGCTCTGCTTCCGCGTTTCATCTGGTGAGTGCAGGTAGCCGGAGGCCCAATTTCCCCCCCCTCCCCCATCAACATGGTATGGGAATTAAATGATAGACTACCCCAGGAGGGTACCAGCACCCCTGGAGAATCCCTCGCTGAGCATCCACGACCATGTTTCTCCGCTTCTGAGCGTGGGTGCTCAGGCTGCCCCGCGTATTCTGGGGGGGGGGGGGCAATATTCCGCTCAAGACTAAAACTGCTCGGGGCAAACGGAGCAACAAGACCAAGGCAACCCCTGCCACGCTGTCCGTGAATTTCTGCAATATCAGGGGACTTCACTCTAACCTAAACGCCGTCCACTACCATCTCGAGACGGCGAGGCCGGCTCTGCTCTTTCTGAGCGAGACGCAGGTGTCCTCTCCGGCTGATGTCTCGTATCTCTCCTGCCCGGGGTACAAACTGGAACACTCCTTTGTGCCTCGGGCTGGAGTTTGCGTTTACGTCAGAGAGGACATCTGTTCTCGACGCCTCGACAGACTTGACCTTCGGACCCGTCCATCCTTTGGCTACGCGTAGACAGCGACGACCAACCGCGCGTCTACGGGTGCCTTTATAGGTCCCATAGCGGTAATGCCGAAACAGACCGACTCTTCGACTACGTCCAAATGGCTGCAGAGTCGTTGCTACAGCAGATCCCCTCCGCAGAGATCGTGATCCTCGGCGACTTTAACGCCCATCACGCCGAATGGCTTGGTTCAAGTTTAACCGATCATGCGGGGAGATCTGTTCATGATTTTGCCTTGGCATATGGTCTGACACAACTGGTTACTTCGCCTACGCGGATTCCAGATGTGGACGATCATGCACCTTCCCTGTTGGACCTTCTGCTGACCTCTCACCCGGACGGATATCAGATTTCCGTCGACGCCCCTTTTAGGCTCCTCGGACCATTGTCTTGTTCGGAGTGTGGTGCCACTCACGCTGAAATCGCGGTTGCATTCTGCAGGCTGCCGCCGTGTTTGGCACTATAGGTCAGCCGATTGGGATGGGATGCGGTCTTTCTTTGCATCCTACCTTTGGGGGCGAGTTTGCTTCTCGCCGGATGATCCCAACGTTGTTGCGGATGCTGTCGCTGATGTGGTACTTCAGGGTATGGAACTTTTTATTCCTTCCTCTGTGGTGCCCATTGGAGGCAAATCTCAGCCATGGTTTGGTCGCTCCTGTAAAATAGCATCATGCTATAAGCAGGAGTGCTACCGAGCCTGGGCTGATGCATCAGCGTCCAGGGATGTAAACACCAGCGCTCTAAAAAAGAAGTATAATTCCGCCTCTGGGTCCTTCAAAACAGTCATTGCCAAGGCAAAGTCAGAGCACATGGGCAGAATTGGCGAGAGACTAGTTCGTCTTCCTTCTGGAACCCGTGCATTCTGGTCTCTCGCCAAGGCTGTCCAGGGGAATTTCTGTCAGCCATCTCTTCCATCTCTGCACAGGGAGGACGACTCACTGGCCCACACCGCAAAGGAGAAAGCCGATCTTCTAGGCTCTTTCTTTGCGTCTAACTCGACTCTCGATGACGGGGGGAGTACGCCGCCGACCATCCCGCGGTGTGAGTGCTCCATGACGGAAGTGCAGTTTACTCAGCGCTCGGTTCGCAAAGCACTCCTCTCCC